TGATGCATACTTGAGAGGTTATTTTGTTGAACCATTAACTGCTGCTGCTGGTGTTGCTGTTGCTGCTGCAGATTTTGAAGGGCATTCTGCTGGCCTAGCAACCTCTGTTGTTGCTGCTGCATGTCTCCAACACTGTTTTGTTGTCCAATTAACTGATTTTGCTGCATATTTCCAGTATTGGGTTGTTGGCCCATTAGCTGCTGCTGAGGGGGCAACAATGGCTGCTGCATCATTGATGACTGCTGTTGATGAATACTAGCAGTCTGCTGTGTTTGCTGCGGCTGCCTGAGGACAGATTGTTGATGTTGTTGAAGCATGGATTGCGTCGATTGTTGAACAGAAGGCTGATTCTGTTGAAGACCAGAGAGTGGTGCTGATTGCATCATGGAAGGCTGCATAACAGATGACGTTTGCATACTAGATTGCTGAGAAGATTGCAATTGAGTTGGCTGTAATAGGTTTTGCTGCTGCTGCTGCTGCTGTTGCTGCTGCTGCTGCTGCTGCTGCTGGATGTGAGATGGCACAAGATTATGTGGGAGATTTCCCTGCTGCTGGAGCTTCTGCTTCATAAATTGTTGTTGGAGTTGCTGGTGATAAATATTATACTGTTGGGACTGTTGCTGCTGCTGCTGTTGGGGAAGAACCGGTTGCCTTCCTTGCATTTGTCTCTGAGAATTGGCAAAAATATTGGAGGGTACGCCTTGTCCCATTGAATTTGCTGCTGAGTTCTGCTGAACTCCAGGAATATTCTGCATGTTAGGATTCTGACTAACAACATTTGAGATAGAATTCTGTGCTAAACCAGAAACAGAAGGTAGTGCAGATGTCAAAGTGGCAGAACCCTGAACCCCGGTAGATGGCATATTATTCTGAATGTTCTGGGGTAGCAACTGCTGACGTGTTTGGGACTGATTAACTGACAATGGAATAGGAAGTGACTGCCCTTGACTGTGACCTTGGGGTGGCATGCTATGAGATGCTGTTCAGCATAAGAGAAAAGATGAAAAGAAACCAAGTTAGAGAACAACCAGAAATTCAAGAAAGGAGGAACTGCTGATTCATCAGTACAAGCATTTGCCATTTATCTCCAAAACAGAAAGTATAAAGTTGCAAATAATGGGGCAACATGAATGGTGAATATAACTAGAATCAACGAAACTAATCACTAAATTTCAATCTCCTAAAGATAATTAAACTTTGATCTCTCTAACAAAAGAACCATATTGCACTTTCTAATATTTTCTTTTTTATATGCATATTGGATTTCTCAGTTTCTCATCCATTCCACAATTTTTTTTTCCTCGTATATATTTTGCTTTGAGGTAGAGCAGGAAGAGTGAGAATAAAGATGAGAAGGAAAATTCTTTTGCGTAGCATTGAATGCACAAAATATAATAAAAATTTCCACTATGGTTACCACACCATATTTTCGATAAATAAAATCAATTTTGGTTTCAGTGGTTTAATCTTCATAAAAATCAAAATTTCGTAATTTAAAAAGAAATTGAAATTTACTAATTTTCTGACTGATGCAGGAGCATAAGTTTCAGAAAAAGTTACTATTCATGTCAACGTAAGTATGTTTTGGCTAAGTTAGACTTTATTTGAAATAGTCAAAAACTTTTTCTATTAGGATTTTACTATTTAGGAATTTACTCTAGTAGGATTTTATGTTTAGTCCTTATCCTATAAGGATTTATAATTAAAAACCTTATTCTAGTCAGAATTATACGGCTGTAATGTTTTATTTTAGTGGCAGATATGAGATTTTTGAGGAATAATAAAAAAAACCAATTCTGGAAATTTATTTCAGGTTGTGAAACCAGTAGTTCCAGCGTAGTTAGATTGAGATTTTGATTTATTTTTCTTCTCTTTTCAATATAATCTTCCCATCTAACCTAAAATAGAATTAGGGTTATTGCTGCATCAGGGACAGTCACTGACTAGTTCATGACTGCTTGTGACATTAACCACAAAACGAAATATTGACAATGGCATCACATGGAAGTCCAATGTTATATAGAGTTATTACCTCCTGGATCAGGGGGCCTGTTGCTATTGCCAGATGCATTGGGTGGTAAAGAATTCGGCATAGGATTTTGAGACTTGGACTCCATTGTAAGCATCTTCAAAGAAATTTTCCGTAGATAATCCGGCTGAAATCAGAGATAGTTAGAATTAACTACTCACAACGATCCACTATAAAAATGTTGCAGTCAAGATCTTGGGGGGGGGGAAATGTCGTCTTGAGTCTACAGATCTTGGGGGGGAGGGGGGGCGGGCCTAGCATTGACGAACCTGAGAAACCATTGGATGCATGGGGGCGGGCTACATGCTGAACCATTGGCATATATTGGATACCCATATTTGCATTCCCGCTGCCCCCAACCCACCCATAACAAACAACAACCCCCCACCAAAACTCTGGCTTTCTCCCTCTCCCCTATTATTTTGTCTACACTTCCGTTGTTCAGGATCAATCTCCTACCCTTCTAAATAAAATGAACAAACCAAGAGGATTAATATAAGGACGTATACTTCATCATTAAGAGCATACCTGGCTTGCAGCAGCAGTATAAATCTTTTCCTCAAACCGCACTGCAATTTTCTTGAGTTCTTCCAATCCCTCTTGACTAGAAAATGGAAGATGTCTCTTTAATGTCTCCATTCTACATGCAAATATTGCATTACCAATTATATTATAAGCACAAAGAAGAGGACCCTCAATGTATAAAATATTTGTATTGACGTTAGGGATGTAAATTACTAATTTTATAGCAAAGCCACTACAACTTAGATATATGTAAATGAAAAGCTACAAATTGAAAGCAACGGCACCCACATCTTGTTGACAATTCGCTGCCGCGAATCAGGCTGCAACTGAGCTCTCCAATCACCAGCATCCATTGTAGGTTCTGCACCTTGGCCGGTGGTTCTGCACCTTGGCCGGTAGGCCTCCAGTTATTGGTATCCATCAGATACCAACCAAGAATAATTAATTAACAGCTGCTAAGAGCACTAAGAAAGAAAGAAAGACTATCAATTGACAAAATAAATCTAATTCTATAATAAGCCTTAAAAACTCTACTACATCATTGATTCTACAGCAAAGAACCAATAAAAAAAATTTAATTTTTTTGCTAACATTCATTAAGTTAAAACTTACTCTCAAAGCGTAACAATGTTATTTTGATTCTACAATAATAAACGAACCAAATAAGGAAAGGAAAGAAAATCGAAATTTCAAAACCCACCACAGAAATCAAAAATCAAATAAAGGGTTTCAACTGATAGATTATCCTCCTCATCGTTTCCCTTAAAGAAATCAAATTTCTAGAGAAAAAGAGAATCAGTTACACGCTTCAAGAATATCATTTCTTTTTTTTTTAAATTAGGGAAAGAGAAAAGAAGCACCTTGCGATTGGAGTGTTTCTCAATGATTTTGTTGTTCGTTATCAGAAACACTGAAAATTTGGAGGAGAAACAAGAGAAAGGGAAAGAGAAAATCAACAGAAAAAACTATCCATTCCCAGATTCTAACACCAGGCACAGATATATTACTATAATACTATACTCTCCATAAATATCTTATTTATATTTTGAACTTTCACATGTAAATACCATCGTTACCCTCCTTTTTTTCTTCTATTTTTTATTAAATATTTTTGAAACATAAATGTTACTTTTTTTTTTTTGAAGATAACATTTACCTTTCTTCAATTAATTTGATTATAATCAAACAATAATTGTACTAACTTCATGACCAAATGAATAAACTATGACCTAAAATTTACAAGAAAAGTTTAATGATTTATCAATTTTAGGTTAATATTAAATCTTTAAACTTACAAAATTGTAATTTCTCAAATTAATTTATAAAATTGCGTCAATTAAAATATTTTCAATTAATTAAATAATTAGAAATTATATAAACCATTGTTCAATAATTTATATAAAAATAATCATAAAATATCACTCTATTAAATATTCATTTAATAATTAAAAATATGTAAATTTATATCCGATGGTTGCCGTTTTACAAATTAAAAATATTTAAAAATATAATTTTAATAGTATAAAATTTCAAGGTCAATCTAAAAATTAAGAGTCCTATTAAAATTTTTTTAAGAAAATTTAACCTTACATTTATATATTGAGAATAATTTCATTGATACCAATGTCTAAAATATTTATTAATTAAAACAGAAATTATGCAATTTTTATCAATCTTTTTTTATTTTCCATTAACGTATAAACTTATGTGTGTATTTTACAATTTTAGCCTCCATTTGAATGCCTAATAGGCTAATAGTAGCGAAGTAGGTTTGTCTTTCAAATAATCAATTCAAACGATGATTGACTATTCCACACAACCAATGATTTGCGTTTGAACAAAATAGTATAATATTATTACTATAGTTAAGTAGTTAATTATAAATTTTACTGCTTTTTTCCATATTCAATCTCTTAATTTGACTATATTATCTTTATTTCGTCTAACTGCTCCAATCGCAATAATTTTCTTTCACTAATAAATATTACAAGAGCAAGAGATGAAGATGATTGTATTGGGTTTGAAATTTTGTGGAAAATCGTTATTTGTATTTAATATAAGTAAGAGTAAAATTGAAAAAAAAAAAATCGATGCCTCTTCGTATTCTTAATAATATTTATGGACAAATCAGCTTCTTAAATCGACCGACAAAAATAATGAAGGAAATACTTTTTTCATCATATTTTTATATAAAATGGTAACGATCTCAGGCATCGTTTGGTTCAAAATCGCTTACTTCCCAGAAAGTATAATTCTCGTGAAATACACTTCTAAGGAAATTATTTTCCAAGAAATATAATTTGTATGTATTTAGTATGTAAATCAACTTCCTAAGAACTGAATTGCTCTCAAACTATAAATTATAATGATATCCATAATATAGTTAATAGGATAAATTAGTAAATTCATTGCATTTAACTAGAGAAATTGCACTTCTCTAATTGCAGTTAATTAGAGAAGTTGCACTTCTCTATCTATACTTAAGGAACTTACTTCCCCTATATAAGGTAAGTTGGATGATCTGTTTCTCAAAAAGTTGAATTGATAACAACTTCCCTAATCTATTTACCCCAACCAAACGTCACCTTTTAAACAATGGAATTGGTTCATATAAGAAGCAATAATAACCATCCAAATACATAAATTTGTCCTTACACTTTACTGAAAAAATCCGGTTACATTCCAAATTTTGCAAACCTTGGATTGAGTCATTTAGTGTAGAATTATTTGAAGTTAATCCTACATAACTTAAAATTCAAATCTTTTATTTAAAAATAGAAATTTTTTTTTATAGCAAAAAACTAAAATAGAAAACTTCTAAAACTCACATAGACAGTAACTTAAAACTTATTAATACGTTTTTATAAGCTAGGAGCAGGCCAAAATAGTATTTTGGTCCGGACCAAATAACCAAATCGAACCATTTCGATTTGATTTGATCAACTTTTAAAAGTTTGGTTACTATACGGTTTGAATAGTGATAACCGAATGGTTTTTGTTTTTATCACTTGCATAGCTAACCAAATTCACTTTTACGTCTAAAATATATTATTCAGTTCGAATAATCAAACCAAACCCAAAATTGATTTGGTTCGATATGATACTGAACCGATTTCTAAACTCTTCCCTCTGGTTTGGTTAGGTCAAATGTCCACCTTTAGCTAGGAGGTTTATGTAAACCATATTTTCCTTTAATTTGGAAATAGAAGACCAAATTAGCAATGTTAATTTATCTCTATCTCTCTTTTTTATTACTTGTCAAAATTCAGAAAATGTTTTACGCTCTTAAAAATAGGAAGTCTTTTTCCTTAAAATGAGTTAATTTTCTTTTAACCATGAATATTTTCTATTGAATTATTTTATGACAATGCAAGTTGTCATAAAATATACATATCTAATCAAAGTTTAATTTGAGTTTAAGGATTCAAACCATGTTAGTGTGATAAAAAAATTTTCCTCATTTATTTTATGTGCTCAAAAATGTGATTAACACTAACACAAAAGGGACTCATTTACTTTCAAATAAAAGTGATTTAATTATGTTGCCTCAAACAAAATTTTAAATTTTAAATTTTAAATTTCTTTTGTTATTAAGCCTCACTTTCCTTTTATTCATTGTTTGTTTGTACTCCATATATTTCATTTCTCTCCATAAAATAGTGACACCTTAATTTGAAAATATCAATTTGAAAATATCAATATAGAATAAAAAATTTTGAAAATATCAACTTCAAAATTTTCAATATAATATATATTTTTGACGATCTTCACAATCATTTTTTTCTAGAAAAAAATACTTCACATAGTGAAATACGTATTCTTCTTATCAATTTCCAAATTATTGCTTCACCCCTTTCTAATTAATTTCTTATATATTTATAAAAAGTATTTTTCATTTAAAATATCAAAAATACTTTTATACAAGATTTTATACAAGAGGGAATAGCGATTAAAAAAAATGCTCAATTCCTTTTTTTTATCGAAATTAATTATAATTCTTTTGGTAATACTCACCGGGGTATAATTTTTCTCAGGCCATAAAATATAAAGATTATTGACTCTCTCAATAAATGATGCTTCTCGAGAATTGAAATTGTATTTTCACTCTTATGGAGATTAAAGTCGCTTACACTCCGCCCTAACTAACACCTTGTTATTATGAAAAAAAAAAAAAAAGTTGACTAAGGTATTAACTTACTATGTTCTTTCTTTTAGTTCGATGAGAGCGAGTGATGTTATTATACGTTCTTTTCTTAGAAAACTAATTTTCTTTAACGTGTGTTGCATATTGTTTGTATTCATTGATTTTTTTCACATTGCAAGTAAGTGAAATTTAATCTATACAAACATTATAAACAGTTTGTATTACTAAAAATTTAAAAATATTCATAAAAACAAAAAAAATATATTTTATGAAATAATAAAAAATTCAATAATTAAATAACTTGTTTAGGAAATAACATATTTATAATTATAACTAATCAAATTAAAGTTTTATTAAAATTAATAATTTCTCTAAAAAAATAATAATTAAATACATTATATTCATATCATATTTAATCTGTACCTTATATAGTATATAATATAACAAATAAAAGTTAAATTACCTTTATTTTTTCAATCAATAAAATTAAAATATTTAAAGGTATTATATTCTTACCATATTTAATGTACCTTATTTACTATCCATCAAATATTATTACCATATATATATATATATATATTACCATATTTACATTATACACATTATATATTATATAATATAATTTCTTATTTTATCCAATAGAGTTTAAATTGAAAAAAGAAATTAATATGATCAATCAAAATTAAATCTTTATTTTTTGAACTAATCAAATTAAAACTATTATTGATACTTTTGTAAATCAAAAAATTTAATATGAACGTTTTAGACAATCTCAATGTTATCCAACTTGTTAATGTTTCTTTGATTTGGATTAATAGGTAAACAAATAAGCTTGCTCATTCTCTATTAAAAGACGTTTTTCTTATGCTCGTCTTCAATGTTGAGATTCAATATCCTCTTATACAGAAGCTAGTCTATATAAAATAGGCAGTTAGCTACTCTAACAAATTGAATTAGTGGCCATCAATATATATATATTAATGGCTTTAAGTAATTATTATTAATAAGCACAACAATAAATTTTAATATTCTTCAAATAAGCACAAATGCATAAAAGTTCTAATTAAACATCATCCGAATTCTCCCAAATAAACATAAACATCATTCAAACGCCATCCAATTTCTCCAAATAAACATAAACATCATCTAAATTACAATTTAGATGAGGAAGTACAAACAACAACTTCAACATCTTTATACAATTCCTCCGGCTCTAAGTTAAGCTCCATAGTTTCTCTTGTAAGTTCTTCCAACTCTGCTTTCTTTGCATCTATGAAGCAAATAAGAAAAGTTAATTAGTTAAATAGCAGCAAATAAAATGATTTCAGCAAGTAAAAAATGGCAGATACCTTCACTAACAAATCTTCTTTTTGCCCCTTAAATGGAATTGAGGGAGGAGATACTCAAATTTTAAAATACTCAGCGGTTTTGTCTAATATTAGCATTCAAATTAATTTGGTCAATTACAAACTTCTCAGTATCTTTTTTTAAAATAATCTGACTACATGGAGCATTTTAAATCCGCACGAATATGAGTAATAGCGGATTCAGTTCTAGAGAGGACATAGCAACATGTTAATTGTATAAATACCAAAACATGGATGAAAAAATTTGATCAATTTGTGCATCTTACAAAAAGAACTGTCATGTATGCAAGTTGGAGTATATTATTCAACACTTCAAATTCAAGTATTAAATTTTCAATTTGTACCAAAATAACTCCTAATTCTCTCTCCTTTTACATCCCTCTCTGTAATTTTGCCAGTCAAATTGCAAAAGCAGTGAACTGCTCCTCTGTTTTGAACTCCTGCAACGTACAATGCTCGATACCAACTTCAGCTTCATAAATTTCTAAATGGCCTAAAATGGTCGGAGTGATTTTAGAACTGTCTTAACCAATCAAAAGTTAAGGACTAGTAAATTAGTGTTAATTAATCCAAACAGACAAGAAAATCGTAACCTTACATCACCAAAAGCTAACATGAGTTAATACTTGGACAATCGCATCAAATAGAAGTCCAACGTTCAATCAAAATAGAAGTCCAACGTTCAATCAAGCTATTACCTTCTGGACCAAGCTGTCTGGGTGGTAAAGAAGTGTACATAGGGTTATTGCTATATCAGGGACAGTCACTGACTAGTTCATGACTGCTTGTGACATTAACCCAAAATGAAATGTTGACAATGGCATCACATGGAAGTCCAATGTTATGTAGAGTTATTACCTCCTGGATCAGGGGCTCTGTTGCTATTGCCAGATGCATTGGGTGGTAAAGAATTCGGCATAGGATTTTCAGACTTGGACTCCATTGTAAGCATCTTCAAAGAAATTTTCCGTAGATAATCCGGCTGAAATCAGAGATCATTAGAATAAACTTAGAACTCACAACGACCCACTATAAAAATGTTGCAGTCAAGATTTTTAATGGGAGAGGCGGGGTGGGAGGAGGCTACATGCTGAACCATTGGCATATAGTGGACACCCATGTTTGCAGTTCCGCTGGCCCCCCAACCCACCCACAACAAACAACACCCCCCCCATCAAAACTCTGGGCTTTCTCCCTCTCCCCTATTATTTTGTCTACACTTCCGTTGTTCAGGATCAATCTCCTACCCTTCTAAATAAAATGAACAAACCAAGAGGATTAATTAACGATAACGACGTATACTTCATCATTAAGAGGCATACCTGGCTTGCAGCAGCAGTTAAAATCTTTTTCCTTCAAAAACCGCAACTGCCAATTCTGAGTTCTTCCAATCCACTCTGGACTAGAAAATGGAATGATGTCTTCTTTAATGTCTCCATTCTACATGCAATATCATTACCAATTATATTATAAGCCACAAAGAGAGGACCTCAATGGTATAAAAATTGTGATTGGACGTTACGGGATGTAAAATTTTACTAATTATAGCAAAGCCACTACCAACTTTAAGATATATGTAAAATGCAACTTAGATATATGTAAATGAAAAGCTACAAATTGAAAGCAACGGCACCCACATCTTGTTGACAATTCGCTGCCGCGAATCAGGCTGCAACTGAGCTCTCCAATCACCAGCATCCATTGTAGGTTCTGCACCTTGGCCGGTGGGCCTCCAGTTATTGGCATCCATCAGATACCAACCAAGAATAATTAATTAACAGCTGCTACGAACACTAAGAAAGAAAGAAAGAAAGACTATCAATTGAAGGAATAAATCTAAAATTCTATAATAAGCCTTAAAAACTCTACTATGTCATTGATTCTACCGCAAATAACCAATAAAAAGTTTTCTTTTTTTTTTTTTTTGCTTAACATTCATTAACTTAAAATTTACTCTCAAAGCGTAACAATGTTATTTTTTATTCTACAGTAATAAACGAACCAAAGAACGAAAGGAAGAAGTTAAAATATTTCTGATAATTTGTAAAATTATAATTTAAAGCTGAAAAATTAAAACATAATCCAATAAATCGAATTAAAGGAAAGAAAATCGAAATTTCAAAACCCACCACAGAAATCAAAAATCAAATAAAGGGTTTCGACGGATAGATTATCCTCCTCATCGTTTCCCTTAAAGAAATCAAATTTCTAGAGAAAAAGAGAATCAGTTACAGTAATAAACGAACCAAAGAACGAAAGGGAGAAGTTAAGAACCAAAGAACGAAAGGGAGAAGTTAAAATATTTCTGATAATTTGTAAAATTATAATTTAAAGCTGAAAAATTAAAACATAATCCAATAAATCGAATTAAAGGAAAGAAGATCGAAATTTCAAAACCCACCACAGAAATCAAAAATCAAATAAAGGGTTTCGACGGATAGATTATCCTCCTCGTCTTTTCCCTTAAAGAAATCAAATTTCTAGAGAAAAAGAGAATCAGTTACAGTAATAAACGAACCAAAGAACGAAAGGGAGAAGTTAAAATATTTCTGATAATTTGTAAAATTATAATTTAAAGCTGAAAAATTAAAACATAAAACATAATCCAATAAATCGAATTAAAGTAAAGAAAATCGAAATTTCAAAACCCACCACAGAAATCAAAAATCAAATGAAGGGTTTCAACCGATAGATTATCCTCCTCATGGTTTCCCTTAAAGAAATCAAATTTCTAGAGAAAAAGAGAATCAGTTACAAGCTTAAAGAATATCATTTCTTTTTTTTTTTTAAATTAGGGAAAGAGAAAAGAAGCACCTTGCGATTGGAGTGTTTCTCAATGATTTTGTTGTTCGTTATCAGAAGCACTGAAAATTTGGAGGAGAAACAAGAGAAAGGGAAAGAGAAAATCAACAGAGAAAACTATTCATTCCCAGACTCTAACACCAGGCACAGATATATTACTATAATATATTACTCTCCATGTATATCTTATTTATATGTTGAACTTTCACATGTAAATACCATCATTACCCTCCTTTTTTTCTTCTTTTTTTTATTAAATATTTTTGAAACATAAATGTTACTTTTTTTTTTTTTTTTTTTTTTTTTTTTTTTTTTTTTGAAGATGTCAATTAATTTGATTATAATCAAACAATAGTTGTACTAACTTCATGGCCAAATGTATAAACTATGACCTAAAATTTACAAGAAAGTTTTAATGATTTCTCAATTTTTAGGTTAATATTAAATCCTTAAACTTACAAAATTGTAATTTTCTTCTTTTCCTCATACCTATAATTTGCATTAATTGTTTTTTGGGTAGATAGATAGATAGAGGTCCCTTTAGTTTTGAGTTAGAAAGTGGAGCAACAATTGGTCAATTTAAGTGATAAAGTGCCATTCATGGGTAGGTCCATTTAGAGGGGGAAGGGGGAAGGTGGAAGCTGGGGGGGGCCTGTTACTGATTCTTTTCTATAAGCATATGTATCCATGCATTTTTTTCATCCGGATCTAGAATTTATCATGTGAACAAAGCCAGCCAGCGCACGCCTTAAAAGTTATGGGAATGTCGTTTTCCAAGTACTGGTTTGGTGCTCTCGTGAGTGAATAGAGCAGAGGAGAAAGAAAAAAAATGGTAGAGAATAAGAAGAAGTGAGACTGAGTGCGGTTGTGAAAACGACTCAACGTATTTTTATCTTTGTTTTTTATTTACTAATTATTATTTATATTAAGAAAAGAAAAGAGAAAAAGAAGGGATAAAAAAAAACTCAGAAGCGACCACACTAGGGCTGTCTCAATCTTAAGGTAAAGGAAAGAAGACAAAGTTACAGCTGCGAGGGTGACCCCACCTCCATCTCTACCTCTACTCCAACGACAATGCTCCTCTTTTTCTTGGAAATTACGTTATTTATTCATCTCTTTTGGCCTAATTCATTACATTTGTTCTGCAAAAATAAATTAATCTAGACGTTAATGGGATCATATTATTACAAAACCTGAGAAGGTCGGAAATTCATTTAAGGTTTTGCTCTGCCTGTTAAGTTCTTCACAGACACTGGCGTTATTATGGTTGCCTGAACTATATTACCAAATCTGGTTTTTAACTTTAGTATATATATATTAACTCAGAGACGAGATCAAGAGACGAGATCAACTTTCATTGTACAAGAAAGGAAGAAAAGGAGCCACTATAGAAGCGAAAAAGAAAAACATCTCTTTTATAGAATAACTTCAAGTTATGAAATTGCATGTATATAGTTTCTTTCTACAAATGACACATATAATATTTAATTTTTTAATAGTAATGATCTTAGGCCTCGTTTGGTTCAAAATCACTTACTTCCGAAAAGTATAATTCTCATGAAGTATACTTTGAAGGAAATTATTTTTCAAGAAGTATAATTTATATGTGTTTGGTATGTAAATCAACTTTGTAAGAAATGAATTGCTCTCAAACTATAAATCACAATGATATCCACAATATAGTTACTAGGATAAATTAGTAAATTCATTGCATTTAATTAAGGAAGTTGCACTTCTCTACTTATACCTAAGGAATTTACTTCCCTTGTATAAGAGAAATTGAATGATCTACTTCTCAGAAAGTATAATTGATAATGCAAATCAAACAAAAAAACACTTATGCACTTCCCTAATCTCCTTACCCCCCAACCAAACACACCTTATATTTTAAATAATGGAATTGGTTCATATAAATTACAATAATAATCATCCAAATACATAAATTTGTCCTTACACTTTACTGAAAAAATCCGGCTACATTCCATATTTTGCAAACCTTGGATTGAGTTATTTAGTTTAGAGTTATTTGAAGTTAATTCTAAAATAGAAAACCCCTTTGAAGTTAATTCTAAAATAGAAAACCCCTTTTGTTTTCTTTATAGCAAAAAACTAAAATGGAAAACTTCTAAAACTCACATAGAAAACTTTTTAATATGTTTTTATAAGCTAGGAGTAGGCGTAAATAGTATTTTGGTTCGGATCAAATAATCAAATCGAACCATTTCGATTTGATTTGGTCAACTTTTAAAAGTTTGATTACTACACAATTTGAATAGTGATAAACGAATGGTATTTGGTTTTGTCACTTGCATAACTAACCGAATTCACTTTAACGTCTAAAATATATTATTCGGTTCGAATAATTGAACCAAACCCAAAATTGATCTGGTTTGATTTGATATTGAATTGATTTCCAAACTCTTCCCTCTGGTTTGGTTATGCCGAATGTCCACCTTTAGCTAGGTGGTTTATGTAAACCATATTTTCCTTTAATTTGGAAATAGAAGACCAAATTAGCAATGTTAATTCATGTATTTTTTTTTTTTTTTTTTTTTCATGATTTTTTTTTTTTTTTTTTTACTTTTAAAAAATGGAAAAGATAATCTACCCAATAGGGGCTCCATTTTTTCCAAAAAAATAACATATCTTTGAAAATTATTTTAAAAAAAAAAAAAAAATCTCTTGAAAAATATTTTTCAAAATTCATTTATTTGTCGGTTTTCTGTTGCAATTTCTGAAAATAGTTAAAATATTAAAATTTTTGGTATTAAATTAAATTAGTATTAATATAATTATAAATTATGTATTAACAATATGATAAGTTGAAGATTTATACAACTTATTAGTTATTTAAATAACATTATTATTCATAGATTTTAATGAAATAAACAAGTTTATTATTTTAATTTTACCATTAATTTTAAAAATAAATCAAATTAATGAATTTTACCACCTCTCATTTTACTTTTTTCTTTTTCTTAATTTATTCGCTATAAAATTTTTAATATTTTTAATCCCATATCCAAAAACAACATGGGCCTATTATTAATTTTAATTTAATAATTCAATTTAATCACGCTATATATATATATATTTTTTAACTTAATTTGATTATATTCTTATAATATTTTTAATAAACATTAATAAAAACTCCATTCAATAGATCTATAAAATATATATAATATATATATATGTTAGTATATATTATAGATATATATATAATTATATAATATATCATTAATATATATATTTCTCTCAACTCAATTTTACTTTATTTTATTTTTTTTAATCGTGCATAGCACGGGTATATCGCTAGTTACTGCAATATATACATGAATAAAAATTATCAATCATAGGTATTAAATAAAAATCGTACATATGTATAAAAAAATAAAATAAAAAGCATATATACAAAAGGTGAACATATTAAAAGAAGAGAAAGGAAAGAAACCGACGAGGATAGCTTGCAATTTTACCATCCTCATCAATCAAAAATTCAGTTTTCTCGATTAAAATTTCTTTAAAAGCAACTAAATTAAATTTACTTTCTAATTTTCTGACGTTTATTTTTTGAATAAAATTTTCTGACATAAATAAGTTTAAAAAAAAAATTATCTATTCATAAATTATTGACATTGGCAACCAAGGAAAATAATTGTTTTCTACTTAATTTGATAAAAGGAAAAAAAAGGAAAGAAAGAAAAAAAAAAAAAAGAAAAGAAAAGAAAAGAAAAGAAAAACCTTCTCTTCTCCTCCTCTTGCTGATCAAGGAACAGTGAGGCCACATGAAAAATGGGTCGATGCAGCATTAAAAAGGAGAGGAATCTTGTAGGCTTGGGGCTTGAAAGTTCGTCTTCTTGAAGATCATGAACTTTGGATGGCTTGATAATCTGTTAAAAAAAGAAATGGCCCTTTATTAGGTATCAGCTTTTGGAATTGATCAATCATGATCATCATTGTCTTTGATTTTGATGAAGAAGACACCTCCAACATTGATGATCGGTTCAAATGAGCTGTTGATTCTCGATAAAGTCCACCAGATGTTGTAATAGTAGTAATTCTGTGTAGGCTGCACTTGAACGAGCCTGGATGGTTTGTAGGTGAGCAGAGACATGTACGTGTTGGTGATGAGGAAGAAGATAATAGGTTATTTCTTTTTGTTGCCATGGATGGATTATATTTGCATTTCTCTCTATTTCTCTTTTTACTGTTGACAATACATAGGACTTCTTTTCCATTCATTGCAGCCTTAAATGTTTTAACTTACTAAAATTTATGATGAACTCAAATTTAGTGTGTGGTTCATCAACAAGGAGTTCGATCAACAGAAATGAGCTTTACCTCCAAAGTTATGGGTTTAAAACACAAATTGATCAATAAAATTCATATGTTCATCAAGATTCAGTGAAAAAAAAAAAAAAAGAATAACGTAATTAACACAACAATAAATTTTAATATTCTTCACATAAGCACAAATGTATAAAAGTTCTAATTAAACATCATCCGAATTCTCCCAAATAAACATAAACATCATTCAAACGCCATCCAGTTTCTCCAAATAAACATAAACATCATCTAAATTCCATATTAGATGACTCCAAATAAACATAAACATCATCTAAATTCCATATTAGATGAGGAAGTACAAACAACAACTTCAACATCTTTATACAATTCCTCCGGCTCTAAGATAAGCTCCATAATTTCTCTTGTAAGTTCTTCCAACTCTGCTTTCTTTGCATCTATGAAGCAAATAAGAAATGTTAATTAGTTAAATAGAAGCAAATAAAATGATTTCAACAAGTAAAAAATGGCAGAAACCTTCACTAACAAATCTTCTTTTTGCCCCTTAAATGGAATTGAGGGAGGAGATACTCAGAATTTTAAAATACTCAGCGGTTTTGTCTAATTTTAGCATTGAAATTAATTTGGTCAATTACAAACTTCTCAGTATCTTTTTTTTAAAAAAAAAAAAATCTGACTACTTGGAGCATTTTAAATCCGCACGAATATGAGTAATGGCGGATTCAGTTCTAGAGAGGACATAGCAACATGTTAATTGTATAAATACCAAAAAATGGATGAAAAAATTTGATCAATTTGTGTATCTTACAAAAAGTTGACAATGGCATCACATGGAAGTCCAATGTTATATAGAGTTATTACCTCCTGGATCAGGCGCTCTGTTGCTATTGCCAGATGCATTGGGTGGTAAAGAATTCGGCATAGGATTTTGAGACTTGGACTCCATTGTAAGCATCTTCAAAGAAATTTTCCGTAGATAATCCGGCTGAAATCAGAGATCATTAGAATAAACTTAGAACTCACAACGACATTAGAATAAACTTAGAACTCACAACGATCCACTATAAAAATGTTGCAGTCAAGATTTTTAATGGGAGAGGCGGGGTGTGAGGAGGCTACATGCTGAACGGGGGCGGGCTACATGCTGAACCATTGGCATATATTGGATACCCATATTTGCATTCCCGCTGCCCCCAACCCACCCATAACAAACAACAACCCCCCACCAAAACTCTGGCTTTCTCCCTCTCCCCTATTATTTTGTCTACACTTCCGTTGTTCAGGATCAATCTCCTACCCTTCTAAATAAAATGAACAAACCAAGAGGATTAATATAAGGACGTATACTTCATCATTAAGAGCATACCTGGCTTGCAGCAGCAGTATAAATCTTTTCCTCAAACCGCACTGCAATTTTCTTGAGTTCTTCCAATCCCTCTTGACTAGAAAATGGAAGATGTCTCTTTAATGTCTCCATTCTACATGCAAATATTGCATTACCAATTATATTATAAGCACAAAGAAGAGGACCCTCAATGTATAAAATATTTGTATTGACGTTAGGGATGTAAATTACTAATTTTATAGCAAAGCCACTACAACTTAGATATATGTAAATGAAAAGCTACAAATTGAAAGCAACGGCACCCACATCTTGTTGACAATTCGCTGCCGCGAATCAGGCTGCAACTGAGCTCTCCAATCACCAGCATCCATTGTAGGTTCTGCACCTTGGCCGGTTGAGCTCTCCAATCACCAGCATCCATTGTAGGTTCTGCACCTTGGCCGGTAGGCGTCCAGTTATTGGTGTCCATCAGATACCAACCAAGAATAATTAATTAACAGCTGCTAGGAACACTAAGAAAGAAAGAAAGAAAGACTATCAATTGAAGGAATAAATCTAATTCTATAATAAGCCTTAAAAACTCTACTATGTCATTGATTCTACCGCAAATAACCAACAAAAAAAATTTTTTTTTTTGCTTAACATTCATTAACTTAAAATTTACTCTCAAAGCGTAACAATGTACGAACCAAAGAACGAAAGGGAGAAGTTAAAATATTTCTGATAATTTGTAAAATTATAATTTAAAGCTGAAAAATTAAAACATGATCCAATAAATCGGGCTGTCTCAATCTTAAGGTAAAGGAAAGAAGACAAAGTTACAGCTGTAAGGGTGACCCCACCTCCATCTCTACCTCTACTCCAACGACAATGCTCCTCTTTTTCTTGGAAATTACGTTATTTATTCATCTCTTTTGGCTTAATTCATTACATTTGTTCTGCAAAAATAAATTAATTTAGACGTTAATGGGATCATTTTATTACAAAACCTGAGAAGGTCGGAAATTCATTTAAGGTTTTGCTCTGCCTGTTAAGTTCTTCACAGACAATGGCGTTATTATGGTTGCCTGAACTATATTACCAAATCTGGTTTTTAACCTTAGTATATATATATTGACTCAGAGACGAGATCAACTTTCATTGTACAAGAAAGGAAGAAAAGGAGCCACTATAGAAGCGAAAAAGAAAAACATCTCTTTTATAGAATAACTTCAAGTTATGAAATTGCATGTATATAGTTTCTTTCCACAAATCACACATATAATATTTAATTCTTTAATAGTAACGTTCAAAATCGCTTAATTCCGGGAAAGTATAATTCTCATGAAGTACACTTTGAAAGAAATTATTTTTCGCGAAGTATAATTTATATGTGTTTGGTTATGTAAATCAACTTCGTAGGAAGTGAATTGCTCTCAAACTATAAATCACAATGATATCCATAATATAGTTAATAGGATAAATTAATAAATTCATTGCATTTAATTAAGGAAGTTGCACTTCTCTACCTATACCTAAGGAACTTACTTCCTTTGTATAAGGAAAATTGAATGATCTACTTCTCAGAAAGTAGAATTGATAATGCAAATCAAACACAATCACTTATGCACTTCCCTAATCTCCTTACCCCCAACCAAACACGCCTTATATTTTAAATAATGGAATTGGTTCATATAAATTACAATAATAATCATCCAAATACATAAATTTGTCCTTACACTTTACCGAAAAAATCCGGCTACATTCCATATTTTGCAAACCTTGGATTGAGTTATTTAGTTTAGAGTTAGTTGAAGTTAATTCTAAAATAGAAAACCCCTTTTGTTTTCTTTATAGAAAAAAACTAAAATAGAAAACTTCTAAAACTACTTCTAAAACTCACATAGAAACTTTTTAATATGTTTTTATAAGGTTAGGAGTAAGCGTTAAACAGTATTTTGGTTCGGATCAAATTAAATCAAATCGAAACCATTTCGATTTGATTTGGTCAATTTTAAAAGTTTGGGTTACTACACAGTTTTAATAGTGATAAACCAATGGTTTTTGGTTTTGTCACTTCATACTTAACCGATATATTCACTTTAACGGTACTTAATATATTATTCGCGATTCACTTTAACGTCTAAAATATATTATTCGGTTCGAATAATTGAACCAAACCCAAAATTGATCTGGTTTGATTTGATATTGAATCGATTTCCAAACTCTTCCCTCTGGTTTGGTTAGGCCAATTGTCCACCTTTAGCTAGGTGGTTTATGTAAACCATATTTTCCTTTAATTTGGAAATAGAAAACCACATTAGCAATGTTAATATTTTTCTTGAAAAATATTTTTCAAATCACTTATTTTTCGTTGTTCTATTGCAATTTTGAAAATTAGTTAAAATATTAAAATTTTTAACTCATAAGACCATAAAAACAGTTATAATAATAATACAAATCTCATGTTTTAAAAATTTTATTATTAAATATGAGAATAATGCAAAAAAAAAAAAGATAAATTATGAAAGTCGCCAATGATCTATTGTGATGGCAGACGATGACCGATGGTGCTGGCTGGTGATGAATGGTGAGTGATGGTCGTGGCTACCGATGATTAATAAATTAAAAAGTTATGAATTTATAAGGTTATAATAAATTTGTAAAAATTCAGAAAATGTTTTACGCTCTTGAAAATAGTAAGTCATTTTCCTTAAAAATTACATAATTTTCTTTTAACCAGGAATATATTTTCGGTTGACTTATTTTTCTGAATACCCCAAACAATGAAAAATTGTGGAAAATATTTTTCTGCAAATTATTTCATGGAAACGAATGTAGCCTTTATGTTGAAATAACATGTAAAAAAAATAAATAAAAACACTGCAAGTTGTCATGAGATATATCTAATCAAAGTTTAATTTGAGTTTAAGGATTCAAATCATGTTAGTGTGATGAAAAAATTTTCCTCATTTATTTTATGTGCTCAAAAATGTGATTAACACTAACACAAAAGGGACTCATTTACTTTCAAATAAAAGTGATTTAATTATGTTGCCTTAAACAAAATTTTTAATTTTTAATTTCTTTTGTTATTAAGCCTCACTTTCCTTTTATTCATTGTTTGTTTGTACTCCATATATTTCATTTCTCTCCATAAAATAGTGACACCTTAATTTGAAAATATCAATGTAGAATAAAAAATTTGAAAATATGAACATCAAAATTTTCAATATAATATATATTGTTGACGCTCTTCAAAATCATTTTTTTCTAAAAAAAAATACTTCACATAGTGAAATACCTATTCTTCTTATCAATTTCCAAATTATTGCTCCACCCCTTTCTAATTAATTTCCTATATATTTATAAGAAGTATTTTTCATTAAAATATCAAAAATACTTTTATACAAGAAATATCAAAAATACTTTTATACAAGAGGGAATAGCAATTAAAAAAAAATGCTCAATTCCTTTTTTTTTTATCGAAATTAATTATAATTCTTTTGGTAATACTCACCGGGGTGTAATTTTTCTCGGGCCATAAAATATAAAGGTTATTGACTCTCTCGGTAAATAATGCTTCTCAGAAATTGAAATTATATTCCCACTCTTACGGAGATTGAAGTCGCTTATACTCTGCCCTGACTAACACCTTGTTATTATGAAAAAAAAAAAAATTGACTAAGGTATTAATTTACTATATTCTTTCTTTTAGTTCGACGAGAGCGAGTGATTTTATTATCTGTTATTTTCTTAGAAAATTAATTTTCTTTAACGTGTGTATTGCACGTTGTTTGTTTTCATTGATTTTTTCACATTGCAAGTAAATGAAATTTGATCTATACATATAATTTTTTATTAGTTTTTTTTTTTTATAAATTATAACATTATAAACAGTTTGTATTACTAAAAATTTAAAAATATTCATAAATTTTATGAAATAATAAAAAATTCAATAATTAAATAACTTGTTTAGGAAATAACATATTTATAATTATAACTAATCAAATTAAAGTTTTATTAAAATTAATAATTTCTCTAAAAAAATAATAAATAATATTTAAATATATTATATTCATATCATAATTAATCATATTTAATACATACCTT